TAAATTTTAAAAAAGCAGGTTGCTTCTACACTGATATCAGTGTTGATCTGAAGCTTTTCCTGATGCTTAAATGAACAGGAAACCCTTTTATGTCATGGTGTTCTACAGTCAGATCACCATATAGGCAATAGAACAGTGATTCTTGTCCAGTACAGGTACTACGTGCACAACTGGGAAATAGAAGCAATCTAGGTAGGACAGAGGATTCCTCAATGGTTACTAACAATTCAGTCTCCCATAATACCCATGTACTTTTGCTAGTGTCTCAGGTCATCTCCCATCAATCCTATTTGCCACTGATGATTGGTGATTCTTTCTCTCTCTCTTAATATCCTGTATCCCCTTGCTCAGGAGATACAGGAGTTACGCTTCCTGCCAAGATTTATCTCCTCTTCTCCATACATTGCAGTATCACAATTTTCAGCTACAAATGGAATTACCTGTGCTGTCTGCTTCTGTTTACTCCCAGCAAGGCTACTATAACTTTTTATGTCCTTAAAACTCACCATAAACAGTAAATATAATGATAGAATCCATGTTTTAAGATGAGATGGTTTGTATTTTTATTGCTGTTGCACCTGTTTTAGTAATGTTTTAAATGCTGTAAGCCGCCCAGAGACCTTTGGGTAGTGTGGGCGGCATATAAATTAAATAAATAAATAAATAAATAAATAATGCTTTTACCTCACATTTTAATGTAATATTTACTTAATTATTATTCAGTATTTGAGTAACCTACTGGTTTAGCCTTTAATGTTGTGTTTTTATGATGTAAGCCGCCTTGGGTACTTTTTTAAAGAGAAAGAGGGGTAAAAACATAATAGCTAGATAGTTAGTTATTTAGTTAGTCTCTTGGTGACTTGAGGGTAAAAGAACTTCACCTGACCAAGAATTACGAATTTGAGGACTGTGTCATTAAAGGGAAATAAGGCATTTCAGGAAGATTATCGAAAAGAGAATGCCATTAAGTTGGAAATGTTACACACTCTCACAGGAGGGATTAGGGGGGAAAAACAACTCAGTTGAAGACAAAAAGGTCAGGAGAAACAAAGTACAAAAATCGGTGAATTGGAAAACACGAGTATTAGAGAGCATGGTCTAAATTCCTTCTTTCAAGAAAGAGGAAAAAGCTATGGATTATGTATGGGCCCCTGGGAATGTGCTTGCACAACAAATACTGTCAAAAATAGAAGGGGAAAAACACCTCCAGATCCTTTACTGGTTTCAGTTAGTGAAGTTGTATCGATCGATTACCATTGAGAGAGTTGATATTATAGAGTTCTAAAAGTGGAGCACCAAGACCAATATGTGGCATTACTGTGAAAAAACAATGACATGATATCACAATGTTGTTTCTGGCTATAGGCCATGGCTGGCAGAAGCCTCCCATTTGACCTTGTTACTGAATCCCTTGAATCATTTAAGTGGTGCTGACCCATCTGAATCAAGTAAAAATAACTCCATTCCATTCAATTCCAATAAAGATCAAGCTAAAGAAAACCATACCAAAGCAAACAATTAGCATGCACATGTTGCTATTGCTCTGACAAATATTCACATTATGCAGTGCAAAACGGCAGGACTACAGTATAGAAGTGTTCTGCCTGGAAACAGTTCTGGAATGGATGGGGCCAACAAGCTGAAATAGAATCTGACAGAGGTCTCCTGGGTGGGAGCTCCTGCTAACTGTGGATTGGGTGCTTCCTTAACTTTTGTGAGTGGGAGAAACCTACTCTGTCCAGGAAGGATGAGGTTTGAAGTTTAGACATTTTACTGGACTCAGTGCTGTTGACTGAATCCTCCCATTTCCATCTCAGGTGGGACTGCACCATTGCATCCCTTCCTTGACACCAGGTCCCTCACCATGTTGGTCCATGCACTGCTAATCTCATGAATAGATTATTGCAATGTGCTCTACGTGGGGTTGCCCTTGAGGCTGATGTGGAAACTTCAACAGGTCCAGAATATGGTAGCCAAACTGGTGAAGGGGATAAATAAATGCCACCATATTTCCTCAACTCTGGCTGAGATACACTGGCTTCCTGTTCGTTTCAAGGTGGTGGTGTTCACATATAGCCCTAAATGGTTTGGGCCCTCAGTACATGGCAGAACACCTACTCCCAGCAGGGACTGCCTGTCCTACACGCACGTCAGAGGCTGGCTAGCT